ATATAATTTCCTAATACATCAATAATACATTTCACATCGAAATTTATAATTTCTTATACATGTCACATTTAAGCTACGCACAACATAGTGTAATACATTAGTCGCGAGAGAGCGTGTCGCGTCGCCGGTGCGGTGGGTGGGGCGAACGGCGCGGTGGGCAGCGCCGATCGTGCCGGGGGGCGTGGCCAGCACCAGCTCAGGTGCGCGTCGCCCGCGGCTGGCTGGTGTCGTACGCGCGGATGACGTCCGCCTGTGACACCGTGCCGCCCTCCTCTTGCGAGAACGCGAACCCATCTGCACCCCAACACGTGCAACAATCAGTCCTCATGTGCTCAGACAAGTCAATTAAATCAATTTTAAAAATAGAACGTGAAGTCAGGCGAGCTTGGGATTTTTTTTTAAATATTTTGCGATATTTTGATGTGCGACCATAAAGTTATAAAATACACTCCCTTCATCTTAGGAATCCATTATTTACCTTAGGTAAAAAACTTTTGTATCATAAATAAAATGTACATACTTGGTGTAGCGCGAGCCACAATCCTTCGATAAAAAGGATTGTTTATGGCGCCCAGGGAAAACTTCGTAGTACGCCCCTGTTCTAAGTGGTATATCGTTCTGTTTATCAGTGCCCAAAATACAAACCGTGAACTAGAGCAGCGTATTCAAACAATAAAATATATCACAGTGTTACCTGTGAACTTCCCCTGCACAAGTGGCCCCTGCGAACAGAGGAGAGCGAGTGTGAGGCTAGAGGGCTAAAGGGCGCTGCGTGCGGTGGGTACTCACGCGACAGCTCGAGGTCTGCTGCGGCGCCCGCGGCCGAGCGGCGACCGAACACGCTGCGCACGTTCTGCAGCAGGCGCGCCGTCTCCGTCAGGCTGCGCACAGAGCCCACGTCACTACCGCTCATTGCCCCGCCCCCACACCCCACACCCGCCGCACCCCACTCCCCAAACCTCCAAAACGGTACGGCTTCTTCTTTATGTATTTACGTTAAGAGGAAAAGCTGCTTCGCATAGAATCGTTCGATATTTATCCAAATTAATAAAATAACTCAGACAAAGTAACTCGCAGTCGCAGCCCGAGTAGAGGCATCCTTTATAAAGTATTCAGATCTAAATGGAAAAATAATTTGAAAGTATAGTTGCTCCAATCGATAGACAGATTTTCCTCTTTTAAAACAAAAATATAATTGGATAGGTAAGTAAGAAGCGTGCAAAGCGGCATGCGAAGCGTCATGCGGCGCCCGCACGGGCCATACTCACACTGCGCCAGCCGCACCAGCGCGTGCGCGGCCTCCGCCACTCTGCGCACAACACCGCCGTTAGTACACACCGCCCCCCCCCCCCC